TAGGTAGATATATTTTCAATTTATTATTACAATTTTCAATCTTTTTATCTCTCTCTTTCATTTTTGCTCCCTCTGTCTCTTACCTCTATTGTCTATGTCCATATTTATTGCATGGCTTAGTGAATCTATGGCATTTTTTAGGTTCAAACGACGTTCGTCTTTTCTTTCCCAAGAGCAGCAGTCAAGAGCAATAGTCAATATAATAAGTATGCATATACAATATATCTAATGTATCTAAATCTATAAACTCAGTCACCTATCCATTTAAAGTAAAAGATAAAAATATTTGCATTATTTTCGAAATAATTTACCACCTAACCATAAAAAATCCCCGCAATTCTCAAGAGATTGTAACGGTTGCTAAAGATAGGTTTACACACAGGATATCTTTGCTAAATGCCCAGCAACAAATCCGTCGGCAGCAAAAGCAAAAGCGAATCGCACACCCATAAATCTATTACCATATCGTTCATGGTGTATTAAGGTATGTGTTGCCTAGTAAATATATTAAAATGTGTGTGTATGTGCCTGTCGATTTATGCATAGCTAAGTTGAGAGCAATGTGTGTATAAATTTGATTAATGATGCGTGCAGCGACCAAACATGAAAACACACACAAAAAAAACAATGGCGATAAACGCATCAACAATGCGACTACGAAGTTGTTGTAGTAGTTGTGGCAACGTCAAGGGAATTAGCGCTCATGGCTTGCGGCTGAATGGCGTGGCATTGCACATATTTATATGTAGTAATGTATGTATGTACATTAGGGTGTCCGTTATTTACCAAGTTAATTGTGTTTTTGCAAACGCGCCCTGAAGTTTCAGCTTTTGCCCTAAAATTAGAATTCAACTTAAACAAGCTTTTTATTATCAATTTAAACCGTGCTAAAATCATTTCTTTTCCCATGTACATATATAATATGAGATTTCTTGATATTTTGCATTAAAAAGTGAACCTAAAACCATGAAAATGTGATATTCTATGGTTGTACAAAATTGTCTGTCCTGCAAACATGGTTCTTATGAGTTTTTCCATAAAAACCTTCCTTTAAAAGTTATACGTGAAATGTACTGAGCATTCATACAAGCGATTTATACATTTTGTGTTGCTCATACGACATGGTGTACTATAAGAATACGGTATGTACATTTGATGCATATCTGTAACTGCGTATAACTTTTAAATTAATGTTTGTATAAAACACGAAAACCCGCTAACTTCGCCTGCTCAAGGGTGAGGGAGGTGCTCAAAAATTTCTTTATCTTGCCTTTGATCAGTCAGTTTGTATGAGAGCTTTATGTTATAGTATGTATGTGCCTACTGAGAGGTAGCATGCAGAGCAGGAGGATAAGGTTCCTCCGAATGTTTACTACGGTTAGCGACACGTAAGGGACTCGTATAAGTCTGATATATACAATCTAGATATATGTGTATATGTATGTGTGTGTGTTTGTTTTTTTTTTGTCGCTAGATGTAATTAATTTACATATTTTTCACTCCCCTAAATGCTTGAATAAATAAAGCTGTTTCTACTTGGCTGGCGGCGCATCACCGACTAGTCTTCTAAGTTTCGAAGCTTGTGTTTATGTTGTTCTTATTGCTTTACAATATTATAAATGCTTTAAATATTTGTATTTAACTCATTCTCCTTCTCGCTCACTGAGCTTGTGTATGTGTATGTATGAAGGGAGGTGTATGCTTTGAGATTCTAGCTTATCGAGTCTTCGCAAGTTAATGGCTGTAATGTTGGTTGAAATATTTTATAGCCAATATAAGTCGTATATGGTACATTAGCTTCGTATACAATAACGACAGAGGATATTTATTGTGCGAATAATCTTTAAAGAGAGTACATCGAGTCTAATCTCTATAGGGCACAATATGGAATAGAATTAAATAATTAAATGTATGCAATATCTTATGAATACAATTAATAACTCTGCAATGAATATCTTTAGGGTATAATTGGAGATAGATTTGTTATAACTTTGTTAATTACGATATTGTATGATTTTTTACTAGTAGTTCATTTTGTAGGGTTTCGTGTGTAAAAGAGTACAATTAGTATTGTTATTGGCTACGCTTAAGCAAAGAGAATATATCGTGCCAAGTAATCGAAAGTATTTAGTTATACATTTTTTGGATATGTTTACGTTGGGTCGCAAGAAGTATAAATTAAAACTATAAAATATTATCCACCTTTGCGAAAACAAAGACAACTCGATTTCTTCGTATACAATCAGCGATGATTGCTTTTTCGTAATAAAATTTTCTAATTCAGCGAACTTTAAGATGTCGAGGGCGTTTTAAATAATAAAATATAATGTCTACCCTTAATACTTTGAGTCGGGCGTTTGACCTCCCTACCGAAGATTCAATGAAAATGCGTCTTAAAATGTTTTTCATAAACGTCTCATTAACATTTCAAAAATTTCTTCCTAAAACTGTCATGCTTTCACATGCTGTGCACTTGCTCGAATCTTTCTCTTGACTTATCGTAATTGTTATCTGTCTGAAGAAGGTATCTTCCTAAAGCTTACGTTCTGATTAGAGATCTTTCGAGTGACCGTAATGCCAGGTTCCTCAACTGCGCTCCACTTGTTTCAACAAATAAATCTGTGGTACGTTAATTATAATGTGTCAGACTTTTATAGTATGAGTTTTCAAAGATTTTTCTAAATATTTCTCCCTTGCTACTGCTGATTAGCAACGTCGAATTTTTGTTTTTACTACTATCTTCTTCTTCATAGCGATAGAAAGCAGGTTATCGAAGGTGACCCTCAATACCATTCAGAAACCAAATATTATCGATCCTAATGTCTAATTCAAAACAGTAGATCTGGATACAGCTTTTGAATTTTGTAACGAGAGAAGGCCCCTGTGTTCTAACTTCCTCGCAGCAGTCTATACTTTTGATATCGGTCTAGCTGCCAGATCTATCCAACAACAACAATCATGTGTTCTTCTGAAATTAGCAATGCACCTCTCCTCTTGTGGCCACAGTCAGTTAACTTAGCCAAAGATAATAAAAATAACAATGTAATTTATAAGTATCACACATCAATGTATCATGAGTTGTAGTAAATAGATGATGTAATTTAGTCCCCAAAAATAATTTTTATATGTAAATTGTATAATTATGCTTTTGTCGAAATAATATCTTATTCCCTTTGATATTCTCTTAACGTAACGCTAAGTACTTCAGCGTAACCTTGAGACAGTACATCAGCTTCTTAAGGCAATCAAATTGTTCTTTTATTATTATTGCATCCTTTTGCTTTGTTTTTATTTGTTTGATCTTTTGACTTGAATTCGTTCATACTTGTAGCACAATTTCATTGCAACTAATTGAAATTTTCAATGCCAACCACAAACACACACACACCTGCACATTGCACCTGCATTCAAGATATGCATGTACGTGTGTGTGTGCATAAATAAATAGCTTGAATCCTAGACAGCAATCAGTGCCTTTGTGGCATTTAAAATCACAGAACGTTGGCATAATTGCAATTAGTTGCAAGCGTAATTGTTATTAATTGCAAAATATACAAGGTCTCGGCCGGGCACGCAAATGCAATAAAACGCCTTCACACAAAGTTGCTAGCTTAATAGACGAATAGAGAAAATGCTGTTTAACAATGGTAATATATATAAGCGCTTTGGCATTTGTGGACAGCATAGATACTAATGCATTTGCAATACTCTTTGAGAAATTCATATAATTATTTTTCATGTAATATCAATTGCCGATGTTTGTGTGTGCAGGTATTTGTGTGTGTCGGTGTCAGAGAAATTGAATTATCTAGCATTATTAAAGGGCACACTAATTATATATTATAATATTTTTGCTGAAATTATTAATTGTTAGGAATTTAAACTAATTCACCCGCCATAAAAAAGTTACGCATACGCCGTGTTTTCCCAGCGAAAGTTTTTTAGTAAGTTAATAAAGAGTTAATATTCTGAGATTATGATAATTTCAGACTTCCTGCAATAAAAATGTTGAAATTTTTTTCTGTGACCAGTTTGTTTAAAGACTACTTAAGTCTTAGTAATATCTTCAAAAAATAAAGCAAATAATTGTTTGCCCGACTACCGAAGTAAACTAATCAAAGATAAAACTTTATCTATATAAAAGGGTTTAAAAAGACTTTTATATTGATTTTGATCGGTCATTCAGTTTGAATGACAACTATATGCTATAGTGGTGCGATCTGAACAATATGTTTGGAGATTTTAGCTATGCATTAGTTAAGCTCTCTATTCCACAATTTGTGAAGATATTGTTTCAAATATAAAAGTTATCAGTTTCAGTTTGTATGTTAACTATATGCTTTAATAGTTTGATCTAAATAATATGTACGGAGGTTATAGCGCTGCCTTAAATAATAGTTTGTGCCAAATTTAGTGTAGATCCCTTGTCAAATAAAATAGTTTATCACACTAGGAATTAAGCTTGATCAGTATTAGAATTGGAACCAATTCCGCCCCAATAATAATTCTGAAAATATTTTGAACTCCATATTCACTATTATTATAGTGCCGTGTTTGCATTTAATATATTTGTTTCTTTTTAGCTTTTTAATAAATTTTTAAAACAATTTTTCTTAAAAGAGGCGCTTAGGGAAAATCTTGGATCTTCTTGAGGGAACTAGTGAAATTTCATTATTTTAATACTACCAGAAAATGTATTTAAGTAAAAAATTACATATTCGCCATGAACTCTTATCTATCTTGCAGGCCGATTTGAAAACATTCCACGATACACAAACTAATTAAAAGTCAAATTGTTTACTATCAGCAAAGATTACGCATACACAATGCACTCCTACACATGTTGGTGTGTAACTATAAGACAGTTTATTTGAAAATAAAAAATAAAAACATTGCAAATTTTAAAATACCAAAAATTATTTATTTTCTTTTTTTGAACATTTTAGCGCTCTAACTAGTTATTATTTGCAAACTAAATGATTTTCTTCTTGTATTTGCAGGTTGACATTTTAGACACTTCCGGTGATATGCAATTTCCCGCTATGCGTCGTCTGTCCATTGCTACCGCCCACGCTTTCATGCTAGTCTATGCGTCCACGTCTGCGTCAAGTTTTGAATGTGTCAAACAGTGTTTTGAGGAGATACGTGAGCAGCGCGCGGACTATCAGGTGAGTTTAGTTGTTTGCCGGTTGTTTTTAAAAACGATTACAGCACGTCAATTGAAGTGTGTATCAATGACTTTTATGGGCTTTTACAGTATATGGCTCCATGGTTGAAGGATAGTATTTTTCTGTGACTCCATGTGGTGAATCACATTTCTCTTTTTTTTAGTTATATATTATATATTCATACCGTTCGTAATTAAGTTTGCTAGTTCTAAACAATTTCCAAAGTAAGGCCAGTAGCAACATCGTACTTCGCAACTTTTATTAGTTTGAAAATCGCCCTGTTCAGGGCATAAAAATCAGCTTTCATTTCACAGCATAAATTCAAACTGAATTTTTTTCCAATTTAAGCATGTACCGCCAATACTCATTCACACAAACACTTAACAACCTTCCTAGTTTATTTATGTTTTTATATATTTTAAAATTCACTGATTTTCAGAAACATATATTTGTTTGTGCGTTCGCTGCAAATCCGCAACAAAAAGTAATTAAAAATTGCAAGCAATCAATTTGCCAGAAAGCATAAAAATAACGGGAAACTGTCAATAAATGTGTGTGGCAGAAGAATTGCGTTCACCGTTAGCCACACGTTTACAGAAACATATGTATGTTTGGTGTGAAAAAGTCAGTAAATTTGCAATGTTAACCCGTCAATGACACAAAAAGAAAATAATAACGAATTCATTACAATTTACGAGCTCATATTTGCACATACACACTCACACCGAGAAGTGTGTTAACAAATATATGCTTAAAATATGTTTTGTTGTTGTTTTCATACATTCATATGTTTGTTAGATTGTTCGTGACAACCAGTTTGACGTACAAATAAGTCGGCTTGCCGTGACATTCGGTGATAAACGAAACGATTTGTTAACTACATTGGAAACTAATGTGACATAAGCAGCGCAGAAAATCAAATGTTGCATGAAAAAACAAACAAAAATGCTAGAAAAATGTTGCCAGGTTGGTAAATGTCACTTAACAGTCAAGAATCTAGTATTGAATTGATTGTTTAGAGTGACAAGTGACATGTGACAATTGACATTGGGATAATCAATTTCTAATAGTCATGTACATATGGTTTTAAGATGGTTAAAAATTTCTATAATTTATATGTCAAATAAATGTACAATTCTCTTATTAGTCAAACTTCTCGTTGATAGCCAACTTTCTTAAATTTCGAAATAAGCGCAGCTTTTAAGCTTTAGAATCTTTTAATTTGTATTATCCTTATATAGTTGATTAATAGGTAGTCTTTTGAACTGGAAGCTGAGATTTTTATAAATTATTTATATAAAGGAGAATATAAATATTTCTAAACCCTGAACAGGGTCATACGAACTGAACGATTGAAATAAAGTTCTTTTATGAAAACATGTTTTGAAGGATATTAAATATAATATATAATATTATATATATATTCGGTGGAATAGCCCATGATGAAGAGACTTTTACTTAGTGCTATTTCACTTACCTTAAACTAAAGCCCAATTAATCTCAACCCCAATTAAATTCACACATATATACAAACATATAAATAAACTGATATTTTCACGTTTTTTTTCCTGTTTTTTCTTTTGTCATATAACGCTACCGCCAAAGGATATTCCCATTGTAATCGCCGGCAATAAATCTGATTTGGCCAATACACACCGAGAGGTTCGACTGGAAGAAGTCACGGACTGGGTCTACTGTGAATTGCCGCGTTTAAGGTGAGTTTGATCAAATCTAAAATTATTTATGTGCATTGTGTGTATGTCTCTTCTTAACTGTATGTGTGTGTGTAACGTAGGTATTTTTATGGCCTTAGTGTCTGTAAACACAAATTTCTGTGTTTCATTGTTGTTGTTTCATTCACGCCGTCGTCTCGTTTTGATTTATGTGGTAAACCCGAAACAGCTTCTACCTCCTGCGGTTTGTAACACATTTGAGTGTGTGTGTATTGTATATGTACAAAAATTGTGTTTTGAATAAATAAGAGAAGATGAAAAATGCGTTTGTTCGAACATGTCCGTTTTGAGCGAGAATGTACCGATTTTCAATTGACTGGGATACAGTTATGCAAATTGCCGGAATAAATATGCTGCAGCCGATAACAGTTAATATGCTTGATCAAGCATAACGATGTAAGCGAGATAAATGCTTGAGTACGTGTGTACAGCTTATACAGGGTAATTCATATAGCAGTTTATTTGTAAAATTTTATAAAAAAAATTATGAATGCTAATAAAACTACAACGGGATATTCTAATACAAAAATTAATGCTCTGCAAAAACGTGGTTTTTCGTCTTAAATAAACTCCTTCAATAGTTAAAAGAAGATGCAATTAAATTATGCATCAAATGTACCGCATTCATGCAGTACACCGTGTCGTATGAGTAACATATACTTTATAAAGCACTTATGCGAGTATGAATGCTGAAAGTAAATTACATATTTGCAGAGATATATTAAAGTCAACTTAAATAAGAAATAGCTAAAGAGTTTTACCGGAGAATGCATATATAAATACGGCTTAGTGTGATCAACTCCAAATGCTTATTGAATTCCTAACATATAACGGGTGATTTTTTTCGGGGTTTAGAACTTTAAATTGGCATTACTGTTCAAGATAGCGACCGATTTAACAGCTGTCAAGTGATTTATTCCCAGTTTAGTTTGGCAATTCATCATGAATAGACTCACGCCTGAACAACGCTTGCAAATAGTGCAATTTTATTTCAAAAATAATGGTTCTGTGCGTAATTCGTATGGCGGTCTATGTTCATTTTATCGTCGACGAAATCGTCCACCAGAACAGTTAATTCGATTAACCGTGGACCGTTTTCGCACCACGTTTTCTCTTATTGATAACTCGCATCTCGAGACGCCGTACGGTGCGTACAGAAGAAGCTATTGCTGCTGTAGAGCGTAGCATTGAGGAAGACCCGAATGAGTCCATCCGCCATCGAGCACAGGAATTGGATCTGTGTCCATCCACTTTATGGAAGATTTTGCGGAAGGATCTTGGTTTGCGGGATTACAAAATCCAAGTCGTGCAAGAACTGAAGCCAAAAAGAGATTGTCGTTGTTCCCGATTTTCATAAGCGAATTTTGTTCAGCGATGAAGCGCACTTCTGGTTGAATGGCTACGTCAACAAACAAAACTGCCGCATTTGAAGTGAAGCTAATCCGCAAGTTTATGTCGAAACACCGTTACATACAGAAAAACTAACTGTTTTGTGCGCTTTATGGGCTGGTGGAATCATTGGTCCGTACTTCTTCAAAAACGATGTTAGCCAGAACGTTACAGTCAAAGGTGATCGGTATAGAGCCATTATTACTAACTTTTTCATACCTGAATTGAACAACTATGATGTCCGAGCTGTGGTTCCAACAAGACGGCGCAACATGTCATACAGCTCGTGCCACAATCGATTTATTGAATGACATTTACATTAAGTCATCGAAAATTGGACGTCCAGATTGGACTACATCCGAGCCTGCCGTGGTGGTCATATGCCAGAAATCATATTTAAAATGTAATGCCACCAGATTATTTTAGGATAAATAAAATGCATGTCAATCGAATAATCCATAGTTGTTTTATTGCAATTTAAAGTTCTATACCTCTAAAAAGCACCCTTTAGTTCTTAACATTCTCTGACAACGAAATATTACGTATAGCTTATTATATTAAGAGAACATATCCAGTAAAAACTGCTATAAATTGGCCACAGCTCACATCACGGTATTTCCAAAACAAACAGATGTTGGGTTTTGAATACAGCACAATATTTACTCACTAGCTTTGTAATTTGGTGTGATTCGCTTTAGTTAACGACTAGCAGATCACTATATGTGCCATCCCACTTAAGGAAAGAGGACTTTATATAGACAATGAGATGTGAATATCAAACTTTTAATATTATTTACAGCTTGGTTGAAGAGGTGGTTGGGCTCACCAAGAACAAGCACTACTAGCTCAAAATTTTTTTTGAATATCGCGCAATTATTAGATTCTTTGTTTTGAAAGGTATAAAATCAAAGGAAGTTTATGAACAACTATTAGAAGTGTATAAGTAGTCCTTCGAAACGCTAACGCTGGACGTACTAGGCTTAAAGACGATCTACGCGAAGGACGACCAAAATCCGCAACCACACCAGAAATCATTGATCAAGTTCGTAATATTGTTAATCAAGATTCAAGTTTGACTAAGCGTGAAATTGCTAATGCCATACACATCTCAGATGAAAGAATACTTCATACTTCACATGAAGAATTACATATAGCTGTTTGGAAAGTTAGTGCCGCACACGTTAACAATTCAACAAAAACTGGATCGAAAACAAATTTCTCAGCATAATTTGGAACCTTTTAAGCAGAGTAAAACCGATTTCTTGCAGAATTTCATACTTATGGATGAGGCTTGGATCTACCATCATGATCCTAAATTGAAACAAGAACGTTTACAGTGAACTAAAGGTGGTTGTTCAGCTTCAAAGCAGGTGAAGTCACAACGATCAGCAAAGAAGGTTATGGCATTCGTTTTTTTGGGATGCAAAATTTTGCTGTTTGATTACCAATCAACTCTGAATATTATTGCAGCCTTTTGGATCAGCTGGATGAAAAAATTCTTGACAAAAGACCTGGTTTGCAGCACAAAAAACAATGACAAAAATGTAGTTTCACAATTACAAAATTCAACAAATTAAAGTACTAATTGCTTGAGAATCCACCGTATTTAGTAGATTTGTCTCCCAGCGAATACTACTTCTTCAGAAACATGAATCCATTCCTTCGTGGAAAGCGTTTTTTGTCGAATGAAGATGCTATTACAGCCGTAGACGTATTGGAAGATCATTAGAATAAGTGTATTGAAGTAAAGGGAGATTATACCTATTGAATAAAAAAATTTATTTTGTACCAAAAATAGTAAATTTTTATTTCGAGCGCAGAAGCTTTTCAACTAACCTGTATATACCATTCCGCAGATGGCCGTTTCGGAGGGAGCCAACTGGTCCAGTGAGCTGTGCTGCACTTTATTTCATAAAATTTTTTCATACAATTTTTTAGGGAATTTTTTACATCTTGTGTTACATTATTGGCGTTTTAGTAAGAATCCCTAACTTTTTTTAAAATATAGTATAGCCTATGTTCACCAGAGAAAATATGGCTTCCAACCGTGCATCTATCTGTATATACGCAAACTAATCCTTCAGTTTTTGAGATATCGATCTGTAATTTTGCACACGTTCTTTTCTCAAGAAGCTGCTCATTTGTCGAGACCGCCTATATGGGGTCATTATAGTATATGGCCGCCATACAAACTGAGCGATCTAAATCAAAATACCACTTTAGCATATAATCAGGTGCGAAACGAGATATCTTCACGAAATTCAGTATAGGTTATTATCTTAGGTAATAATGCAATTTCCGAAGAAATTGTTCAGATCGCATACAGCTTCCATTCAAACTGAACGATCGGAATCAAGTTCTTGTAAGGAATCTATTGTATTTGTGCAGGTTGTTATAGCTTTGGTGCAAACGAAGTAACCGTTTTTTCTTGTTCATATATTAAATAGGTAAACCGTAATCTTAGTATCCCTAAACGGATTGGTTGGATTTTCTAGCTAATAAACCACTATTGGTTGATATCCTTAAAGTAAGGCCTCGCTGGAAATAGGAACTGTGTGATAGAGTAGTTGGAAATGGGATAGGTCACCTTCGCAAAAGTGTGAGATGTAGCAAGGAAAACATATAAAGTATATAGAAGCATACGCGAACCCTTAGAGTAAAATGAATCACCATTATCGGTTGAACTATTCCCACCCGATAAAAGTTAGCGGCAGTTCGCTAATTAAACAATTTATAGGATGATTATATTTCAAAGGAATTTTATTTAAATTTAATTTCTGAGAAGGATTACAATTCAATATAACCACCTAATCAAAGAGGGGAAACGAACTATATATCAAGGTGGATGGGTGTGTGTTTTTGTGAAGGTAAAACAAGAGGGTGCGTAGTGACATCTGTTGACATGAACCGCAGTTAAACGGATTTCCGCGCTTACACATTTCTCGGTTGGTGGGTAATTGTGTCGCCGCCAGCAACAGTTGCAACTGCGATTGTGAAATCGGTGCAATCAGTGCAAGGCAATACAACACAGCGCCAAACTAAGTGATGCAATGCAATGTAGTAATTATTGCAGCAAATCGAAAATGGCGGTTTCCACTAAGCGACACTTTCCTCGCCTTTCCTACACTCCCGAATCTGCTTTTTACTCAATGGAGCGCAAATGTTTTCCTAATGCCAGCGTACACATAACAAATCAACAGATCAAACTAACAATAGAAAAGGAAAAAATAAAAAAATAAAAAAACAAACAATCAAGCTACTGCTGTGACCGTTTAAATATAGCAACAACAATGCGGTTGCGTTGCGAAATAAAATTAAAATGCAAACAAAGTGGCGACTAAGAAATCAAACTGTGAAGTAAAATTGCATGCACGCACACATATAAACATGCATACGCAAGTAAACGCGGGAAATTAGCGGTTGATGAAATCGGCGAAGCAAACAACCGCAAAAGTACAAGTTGTTGGCTTATAATGTGCAAAAATGCTCACCAAATGGAAATTTACAAGATCAACGGGGAACCGATTTATATCCGCCCTCCTGTGTTGCGCTGCATTTATATTTAAATAATTAAGTTTAATTTTGAGTTTAGA